GAGGCTACTCCAATATTTCACTGGTCAGACAGTTTTCGATTTTCGGGTGATATCTCTCCATTGAGTGCCCGTGCCAAATCTTCGCCTTGACCGCTTCAAGTCTCGGTCGTCAGAACCTAGAGCGCATTGGTGGGTGTGGTTAAAAGCCGCCGTCAGCCTCTGGTTAGCAACTAAGAGCTGGGCAAGGCTCTGGACGAGGGAACGAATAGGCATCGAGCCGGTCGAAGGGACGGAGTCAGTTAGCCCATCTTAGGAGCTCCACAGCCCGGTCTGATGAAGTTGGCCTTTGATGTAAGTTGAGAAATATCGCTATGGCTGTACTTGGATGCTGCCCTTGAAAGTGCTTGCCTCGATTCAAGTCGTTTTGTGAGAGTCTAGTGCTCGGGTTCTCAACGGTAGCGGTTGGCTGGGTTGACGTCGGCACCTAATGGTGGTTGTAGTGGTGTCAGAGCCACACTTCTGTCGATACCGCGATGTGATCGACGCTAGATTGGTTTGTCTTGATCTGAGTCATTGGGTTTGTTGCCTCGCGGATTTGATCTTGCGAACAAGTCGTCAAGATGTTCGGGCCGGATGCGAGGCCTGGGAGCGAGCAAAAAAGAGGGAACGAATGTCTTGCATCGAGCTGGCTTGCATGTCTCTTCAGCTGATCTTCGAAGCGTTGGCGTTTTCCCTCAAATGGCCGTGCCACGCGGGGAAGCTTTTGAGTAGAGGCTAATCTTGGCATCTGTTGAGTAGTGAGACGGAGAAGTCTTTGGAAGGTTGGGGTATGGGCAGGTGGTGTCTGAAAGCGAACGTGGACCGAGAGCATCACTCATCGAACAAGGCAAGTACAGGACTCTCGTGTCAGTTACTCATAGTCTACTGGCATGGAGCGGTGCCTGCGACTAATCGGATGCTTGAGGATTTCCGAGGTACAGATGTTGACTGTCCCTGGACGCGGAAACATGGTGCGTCTGGTCTGCGTGCGACTCGCCGTCGTCTTCAGCAGCACTGATAGAGTTCCAGTGCGAGAAACACACGACACGTACACACGATGACTAGTGGTAAGGTAGGTTGTGTCGAGCGCGAGCGGCGTCAGATGAATGCGGTGAATGGTGGTATTGGCGAGCGCCTTGACTTGAGTGGTCACCCGGTAGACCGTCTGACATGGCGTTACTCAGGGGCCTATTCGGGGTCGGACCCTGATGATCATGCTGCTATGGTTGAGGAGTGACACTCAGAAACCAGCTCGTAGGCGGAGGCGAGGAAGGGAGATGCCGAGGGAGGGCGGCATGGATGGGATTGCTTCCGTTGCGCTGTTGAAGGGGAAGCACAAGCTGAGCGATGGGGAACCGTCGGTCCAGAAGGGGTCATCGCTGTCCGTCATCGGTCTCATTCAAGCCTGTCGGCTCAGCGTCGCAGAGGCTGCAACATGTGGAATTTCGAGTGCTATGAATAGAGTAGAGTTGAAACGGAAGACTGATGGTCTGTTTGGCAAACGACTATCGCCATGTTCGTTGCTTTTCTCGCCCGAGATGTCTTGCAATCTAGACTTGTGAATGATGGACGGAAACGGTGGTAGCGGACGTGTTACTTTTGTAAGGTGCCAGGGGGCAATGAGCGTCAGGTCTGTGACAGGCTTGGGGGGAGGGAAAGGTCTTACAAAGCAAATGCCAAGATGCATGAAGGCAAAGCTTAAGGTAAGAAGGAAGTCAAGCTCAGCGCCCGCGCAAGCCACGGATGGAAGGAAAGAGAGATGTCAAATGTGAGTGACAAAATAATTTCCCGCTCGACTTATCTGTATCTCTACTGCTAGTATTGCTATTATTACTAATTCTTCTCTCTCTGTCCCCCCCCCCCCCTACCCCCCAACTATTTGCTCTACCTATAAATAATATACGTGAACAAGCATAAAAAGAGATAACACAAAAGACAAGTGCAACATGAAAAATAGCAGCGATAGGACAATAGGCGATGGAACGTTCCTGCCTCAGTATGTTGGGGCATTGGCCAGCATACTATTTTATCACGCAATTGATAGTGACGTATGGAAGGCCTCAGGCGGCAGAATGGCATTCATATCTCCCGAGACAAGTAATTCAGAGACGCTCGCGAATCATAGCTAGGTAGAATTGTATAGAACCAGAACATATGTATCAATAAACTACATGCATAGGAAGGAAGTCATCACAATGCAATGCCAATCAGCCACTGCGTATTACCTAGTAGGTACGTAGGGTTGGGCAGATAATCTCCGACCAAATGTTTGACTCGCATGGGCCGCACTGTCAGTTTGCAAGCCGGATATCTGGTTGCAAGGGAGGGAAAGCACTCTCACTCGGGGATTTGGAGAAACATCTCTGGACGTAAACAAACCAGATGTGGGCACCAAGACCCGAGCAGCAAATATACGGAGTAGTTTGGCGATGACTTTGGCACTAGACGCTCGGGATTATCAAGGGGGGGGGGGGCTGAGTCGGATGTGATATTCGACGGGACGCCGCCATGATACAAGTTTAGAACAGCCGTAGCTCCAGCTCCAGCTCCAGCTCCAGCTCCCGCGGCGGGTCCCGTCGATTCGATGACTTGGACCATGGTCAACAGCCAGTCGGTCCGGCGGGTGGGGTTTTCATCTCTTCACAACCCCCGGTGCGTGACACCTTCATCCACCAGTACCACCTCCAAGTCCCCCAGGCCAACGTCCACTCCCACGACATACGGATATGGCCCACCGGCTTCCGCGCTCATGGAGTGGTACCGCTCCCAACTGAGGAGCTTCACCTTCAACAAGCTTTCAGGCTCGATGACCCTGTGGCGGATCCTTGCCGCTGGGTCGTGGATTTGTTCTCAGTGTTCGACGGGTGGACAATGCCATGGCAGATTTGCCATCATGCTTCCTTGGATAGAGTAGGTATGCTTATGGAGCACCTCCCAGCAGCACCTTCTGGCTTCAACACCTTGCTCGAGATGGTCCTCAGCTAAGGTACCTAACTAGGCCCGGTAGATAGGAATTGCACATAATGTAAGATATCAAAACCAACCAACCTAGGTTAAAAAAAAAAAAAAGGAAGGTAGGCCATACAAATGTGTCTGATCCCAAGTGAGGCAGATACTCTGGAAACGTGTTACGGTAGTTGCTGTGGCCGGCAAGACGGGTAAGGTGAGAGGCAAGCAAGGGAAGGCACGAACAAAATCCAAGGGCAGGCACCCCCTGTCGCAGCTACCCTACCAGTCAGTACCTTACGCATGCCCGGGTCGCGCTTTCCCATTCCTCCCGTCGCCGAGAAAAACGTGCCTGCCACTCCTGCCCAACCTGAAGCTCCCTGACTGGTCGATGGGCGAGCGACTGGTGTGCTGAGAAACAGACAACGGGAGGCGCTTGCTGATGCAAAGATGCGGTGATGCACCAAAATATGCCACTCCAACCAGCGGCACGCTTCAAAACACCACACCTTCACTTTCTCGCTGGTGTGCTTACCTTACCTATGGAGGGAGGGCAACCTTTTCTTAGTAGGCGGGAAGACGTGGAGCGATGCGCGTACGTACCTAAGTCGGGGCAGCATCTACCTAGTTGGCAGGCGCGAGAAAAAAAAAAAAGAAAGAAACGTAGATACGGATTAGACGGGGACTGAGGAAAAAAAAAAGTCGAGACCATTACTACGACCCCAATTTTATCCCGTCCAGATCTCCCTCTCTTTAATTTTTTTCTCGTCGTCCTCCACCTTGCCTCATTCCTAGTCACGATCCTCGGCTTCGCTTTTCATTTTCATATTTTGAAGCCGCTTGTCCGTTCTTAAGAGACAGGGTGAAGCAGCGGAAACGCGAATAGAAGAAGAAGAGGCAAAAAAGGAAAAAAAACATAAGAAGGCATAACATCACGCCCGCTGTCACATTGTTTTTCCTCTTGCATCCTTGATGTTCGTACAAAATGCCAATTCACCTCAAAGGCAACCTAATTTAATTTTCTCTGTCGTCTCTGGGTTTGGCATCTCTTTTTTTGCCCGTCCTGCCTGCCTTTAACGCTTCGAGAGCCCATAATATCTGCACCACCCACACCCATCAGCGATCACTTAGTGCCCATAGCACTATCCCTCTTTAGCCTTCCCCCCTGTAGTACGAGCGACCCCCTCACGCTTTTCTCTCGCACACGCAGGCAGAGGAGACCAATTCCTCCACACCTCTCTCTCTCTTTTCCTCTCCCATTTTCTGCGCTCCTCCTGCCGACTCCTGCCTTTCCGACCGAGCAGCCCGCCGCCGCCCAACACAAAACACGAAAATCCTCCCCTCAAACCCACCCTCACCTCTCCCTCCCCCAAAGCCTCTTTTCCCCCCCACGAGGCCACCTCTTGACCCAACGGCGACGATACGTCTATTCAAGACGACAACGCGATCCAGAGATTTCCATCTCTTCAATACATTCAAAACAACGACGATCAATCAAACAGACGAACTCCGCATCGCTGTTCACGGCAAGAGCGGCTCCTGCTGAAAAAAAAAAAGGCGAAGCTATCAACAGACGGCCCTATCTCCAGCGGCGAATCCCACCCCATACAGGCGAACTCGATCCCGCACAGGGACGACGAAAATTTTCTCAACGACGACGCGAGACGCTACCACACTTCCTGGTCTGCGAATAATCCATAACATCGAGCATTTCTGTCGCCGCTTTCTCTTCCCCGGAAAGAAAGGCCTACAAGAGCTGAGATCACTTCGCCGTAAGTCTTTCGCCCTGTCCCGCTCGCGCTTCCCCTCTCCTGCCCACTCACCACCACGTTGCCCTCAACCTCCCCGCGCGCTTCCCAAACAAAGCAGCCAAACAAACATCTCGACATCTGCGGTATACTGACTACGCGTTTTTTCCTGAACAGACACGAGAAGTGCATCGTCCCCGTAAACTGGGCATTCTTTGTCTCTGGCCGCTGCAAAGTACACCCTCCCTTCAGTGCTCTTGCCTGCCGCAGTCGCGAACAATTCCCTCGGTATCAGCGGGCCATCTTTCTGGCTGGTGAGGATTAAAGATGGCGGACCAACATGAGGTCGACCTTGACTCGATAATCGACCGCCTCCTCGAGGTTCGTGGAAGCCGTCCCGGTAAGCAGGTGCAGCTTCTCGAGGCAGAGATCCGCTACCTGTGCACCAAGGCTCGTGAGATCTTCATCTCCCAGCCCATTCTTCTCGAGCTTGAGGCTCCCATCAAGGTACGCTCAGTCTTTTTGGCCTGGCTAGGTCATCTTGCTTCCCTAATGCTTTGCCTCCCCCGAGTTGCACAGACCTGCTGACGCCAACCCCTCACCCAGATCTGCGGTGATATTCACGGACAATATTACGACTTGCTGCGTCTCTTCGAGTACGGCGGCTTCCCTCCCGAGGCCAACTACCTCTTCCTGGGTGATTACGTCGATCGTGGCAAGCAGTCTCTCGAGACCATCTGCCTGTTGCTCGCCTACAAGATCAAGTACCCCGAGAACTTCTTCATTCTCCGCGGCAACCACGAGTGCGCCTCCATCAACCGTATCTACGGTTTCTACGACGAGTGCAAGCGCCGCTACAACATCAAGCTATGGAAGACATTTACGGACTGCTTCAACTGCCTGCCTATCGCCGCTATCATCGACGAGAAGATTTTCACCATGCACGGCGGCCTCAGCCCTGATCTGAACTCCATGGAGCAGATTCGCCGCGTCATGCGACCCACTGACGTATGTTTGCACCCTTCACGAGGCCGAGTGCTGGCCTCGTCTCGATTTGCTTGTTGACTAATGCTTCGATCAACAGATTCCTGACTGCGGTCTTCTCTGCGATCTGTTGTGGTCTGATCCCGACAAGGACATTACAGGCTGGAGCGAAAACGACAGAGGTGTCTCCTTCACTTTCGGTCCCGATGTTGTGTCCCGGTTCCTCCAGAAGCACGATATGGATCTGATCTGCCGTGCCCACCAAGTCGTCGAAGACGGTTACGAGTTCTTCTCCAAGCGCCAGCTCGTGACTCTGTTCAGTGCACCGAACTACTGTGGAGAATTCGACAACGCCGGAGCCATGATGAGTGTGGACGAGAGCTTGCTCTGCTCGTTCCAGGTGAGAAGACGGCGATGGAAATCTTACTTTCCCGACCAAGTAAACTGACGAGACTCTCCTACAGATTCTGAAACCTGCTGAGAAGAAACAAAAGTACGTCCCTGGTGGTCTCGGAGGCAACAGCCGACCAGTCATCTCTCCCCGGAAGTCCGCTTCCAAGTGAAATTAAGAGTTTATACGAACATGCACATGTTTCTAGGTTCGGCCGTCGTTAAGTGCCTCCCGCCCACATCGACCGCTCTACTTTTACGTCCACCGACGCGGTCTCTCGCGACCCGCTCACATCGTCCTCCCGCTTTCTCGATCCTCTGGGTCACCCTCCGTCAACTCTTCGACTTGTCCGATTCTTCCCGAGCCCACCCACCGACTACAACCCGCGCAAACTGTTCACGATTACGGCTGTCTGGTAGCAGAAGATAAACACACAAAAACACTGGAATTTGCAATGGCTATCACAACGTCTCACGTGCCTCTGTGCGAAGCCCCTCGGTGGACATGAACTCACCCTGGGGTGTAATAATGAGTGATTTGCACGCCAATAACGCGTCAAGAGCAGCCTCGGTTCACTGTTCCATCGTGGGAATACTTGTCCCCCCCCAGTCGCCACTGCCACAAAGGCTTGTCCAAAAGTCATCGTGCTGAGGCGTCAATTGGCAATATCCATGTGGTCACGGGGATCACCTGAACTTGAACATCCGCTCTTGTGCCCACGAGCTTGCGTCGCGGCCGTAGGGGGCCGCGTCTCAGCTCAATATCGCGGTGGCACCTGTAAGACTATGATTTACTCGGCATAGGCAGAAGCAAGCCCGTCGTGGGGTTGGCATTCTGGTTTCTCAAAGAAGGCATTGCTCATCGGCCGGGCAACAGGGGGGCTCGCCATCATGTTTGGCGGGGTTGAGTGTCGCTTTTCACTTCCCTTTTTGCTTGTACTATTCTCCATTGACTCTGGTCTTTCTTTTCTTTTCCGTCTTTTCTTGTAACGCTGGAGGAGAAGGGGCGTATGGTCGACAGAGGTCTATTACTGAGACATGCGTTCAGGGGATCGCTGCACAGCTCACTGTGTGTACGATCTTGGAATGAGGGGGTCTAACAATCCGGCTCCGAGTTGATAGTCTCTGTAAACAATTCGCTCTAGGCATTCCTGTGGTTTTGACCCGGCGTGGTCAGGTTCACGTCGAGTGCTGTCGCAAAGGAGGATGCTGCGGCTAGTGATTGCAACGAAAAGCCCACTTTATACATTTGATCAACCTGACTGGACATTTGGATGCCGACGCGACGTATTCATTGTGTATATTGATTGTGTTTACGGATGACTGTGGGCTCCCGCTGACGGAGAAGAGAGCTCTTGAAATGATGCAATGCATATTTCATGTCGTCAGCTAGACGGTCCATGCCCACGCGTGCCACCTAGATGCCGCGTAGACGTTCCCATCCGTGCCGATCTCCAGGTCCGCATCGCTAGTAATCCCGGTTCACATTCCAAAGCCCTTGCCTACCGCCCCCAACTTCAGCAGCCACTGGACAACGAATCTTGCGAGACATGTTTGAATTACCTAGGAATAGCACTCGAGGCGAACTTTGCGAGCTTGGGATCCCGTGACCTTGGTGCTATATGGCTAGTCCCGCGCCCCGGGCTTCCGCGCCAAGCCTAGCTGGCAAGGCTGGCTATACGAGAATAGAGCAGGACAGGGCTGAATAGATTGACCTGCCATGCCAGACCAGACCAGACCAGACCAGGTGCCGACTGTATCTATAGGGACTCGGGGTTCTCAAGCACAGTCCTCGCACTTCTCCTTATTGAACTTGGCCGGCGGATTGTCGTATTGCTGGCCAGGCAGCTGGCCTGCGGGCGAGATCTCGGCCTTGGCCTGCTGTCCCTTGTTCGCGCGGGCTGCGCCGATGGCGTCTCGGGCAGCGTCGCTTAAAGATGAAGAGGAGTTCTGTTCTTTGCTCTCAGAGGTGACTTTTGTTTCGCCGGCAGCCGGAGAGTGGCCTGCGTTGGTGGGGTGCTTCTTGAGCTGGGAGACCACGTCCGAGGCGGCTGCGGAGGAAGGCATCGTCATTGTCGGCGCCGTGGCGAGTGCGTCGGAGGCTAGAGTCGGAGGTTGTTGGGTAGAGGTTTCGGGTGTGATTGCTGTTGTTGCCGTTGATGGGTGGTCCGTCGTCGTAGGCTTGGAGTGTTTCCGGTCGACGTGGCCGAGGTCTCTGTCGGGTTGGATGACGTCGCGGAGACGGCGCTTGAGCTCCTTGGTCTCGGGGAAGCCTCCTTCGGTCTTGCGGTCCCAGAGGATCGTTGAGGAGGTCGTTGTCGCGCCGGCGGGTTGGTGGGTTAGCGTTACGGTGAAGGTGCCGCCTGTGGAGGGTTGGAGGGCGACCTCGCCGATGGAGGTTCCGAATGTCGATAGGAGCTCTTGGGCGAACTGTTTGTTGTGTTAGGGAGGTGTTTCTTGCTGAGTTGTGTATACCTAGCTTTTCCGTAGTAGGAGGGACGGACGATGGGCTTCATTAACGGTGGAAAGGGGAACACTAGGCCAAGCACAGTTTGGGGGGTCGGAAGAGGAGGTTGACGGTGTCAGGGGTGTTGCCGAGGATGAGGTCATCAACGGCCACCTCCCGTATAGAGGTAGGACCTGTGTAAGTGTAGCCTGCTTCGCGGCAGACAAAGGTAGGTGTTTACAGATAAGGAAAGGCAGGAAGTGATTGTGGATGGCAAAAAGACCCGGCAGTGAGGCCCTCCCTTCCTGCCCTTTGGGTTGTACTTACATATGCTGCGCGAAGCATCCACTTACACTGAGTGCAGAACTGGATCGCGACGCGGGGCAGCGGCGTTGAGGTCGACGCTGACTGCGGTGCGGTAGTTGTTTCGGCCATTTGGGAATCGTTCCTGTTACCTGGGACAAGAAAGAGGAGCGTAGACTACTTGTGTAGACCTTTGGTATCTTTGGTCTGTAGTAGTTGGGTGGGCTGCACGAGGAGAGGATGTGATGGTGTGGGAAATGGCGTCTATTCTCTTGTTCATCCTGCGTCATTGGCGGCCAGCCAGTACTTTTTTGGATTGGGGAAGAGGGGGAGGAGGAGGGGCGGTTGGTGCCATCCCAGCTTTCCTCTGATGATCAGGTAAGCGTGCATGAAGCTGTGGCCATGCCGGCGCTGCTTCCATCGAGACTGGGGGAGGAGGGGAAAGGGAAAAAGCCACACTTGCTGGCTTACGAAACAAAAAAGGACCCGGCGGAAGTGTGCACGAGAGATGGAGTGGAGGGACCTATTGGAGGAAACTGTTCGGATCCGAACTCGCACTCGGAAGCAGGGTGATGCAGCAGCCAGCCGGCAGAAGCCTTGCTCTCCGCCGTGGGCATCTGGCATCACGTCCAATTTAGCAACAAAAAAGGAGAAAAGTCAGGCACACGCCAGAAAAAGAGAGAATAACGGGCCCGCATATGAACTTCCCTCCCAGGACATCCCCCCCCAGCACCCAGCACGTCGGTGGCAGCGAGTGGCTCGAACGCCCTGCAGCAATTCAGGTACGGGTGGGCCAACAACCAGGGATCAGGGCCGGCAGGGCTTTTTTTCGGACTTGTCGTGCCTGTGCAAAATAGAAGCACCAGACGGGGAGTGAGTCGTGCGGAAACAGTGCTGATGTTTTGGGACCCGTTTGCCCGCCGAGCCCTATTCTCGACAGACGACGTTGGGAAAAGCCGGTCCTGAGTCGACTCCGAGGTAGGTAAGGTAAGGTACGGATACGTGTGCATAAAGTGCGCACACATAACTCCGGGCGGGCGAGACTTTTGGAAACGTATGTGTATACCCGTGGGACCCGTGGAAAGTGGTTTCCGGAATTTCCTGACCGTGAGGTGAGGTATCTTACCCTACTGCATAGTGATGCAGCCAGCGCCTGCAAACAAGCAGTGAATACTGGCGGCGGACACTTTGCCTTGATCTTGGGGTTTGGTGGGAGGAGCAGACGGTTATCACCCGCCTCGGGTACAGCAGCAACCGCGGAATAGAGGCGTAGCAACAGGGGTGCTGGTGAACGGAGCCCCGTCCGGCAACGAACACCAGAAGGTAAGGTGAAGTAGACCAGGAGATGTGAAACGAAAGAGTGGGAGTGTTGCAGCGGCAAGGGCTAGAGGGAGAAAGGGGAGGGAAAGCAGTAGAAGTAGTAGTCATCGTTCGGTATCTGTATAAACACAGTAAAAGGCCGTATGAGGCAAACCAGAATATTGAACCTCATCTTACCAGCGTTTTAATCCGCCGTATGTACAGGCTACGGATACAACAACTCCAATTGGCAATAGCGGCTCACCGATGGTCCAGGGAAAAACCACAGGTCCGCCACTACTCTTTCTTGACCCCCCGACCCCCCTGGTAGCCTAAGGCTCGAAGCGAAGAAAAAAGATGAGTTGACAGGCGGGCCAGGCCCGATGTAATCCTCGGGAAATGAAAGTTGGTGCTCTCGCAGCTCTTTTCGGCCTCGAACAGGCGGAGTGCTGTAACCTCCCTTCCCCATCGGCAGCATCCAATGATTCAATCCCAGGAGTTCAAAGTCGGCGCCGAACTGTTCATCCCCCAGTCTCGCTCGGCCAAGGGGGGGGGGGCATGAATCCATAAATCTGGCTTTATTCACAATTTCACAGTGAGAGAATGGAAGTGAGGACAAGATGAAAAAAAAAAGGGACGCTGCATATGTCTCAGATTTCCTGCTCTCACCTGTGACCTGAAGTGGCACCCGCCGAACCGTACCCCCCCCCCCCCGGAATGGAAGACCGCAAGGCGAGGAGGGGGAGCAAAAAATGCCACACGAAAAAGCTTGTCCCCATTCCCGTTTTCAATCCCTCTTTGCTTTTCCCCCCAGAGGCCTGTCTCTCTATCCGTAAGGTAGGTAAATGGCCTGATGTGGACTGGTTGCAATGTCTCGCGTTTCTTCCCTACTTCCAGGGCTCTGGGTCACTCACTCACCACCCTCACCTCTCCTTTCGCTTGCTTACCAATACGTGATCGTGTTCCCCATCATTTCGGAGATGCGATGCGGAAATCTGGTTCAGGTCTCGGGAGTTCCTATTCCTACTGCGCAAGGTAGTGTGAACTGTGAGGAAAGGTCACGTTCTTTCTCAACCTCCCTCCCCCAAAATGCATTGACTGGCTCCCGGGGTCCCGCCAATGCGGCCATTGGTTGGCCGAAATGACCTGATATGGGACCACCGCAGATGCGAGTGATTTCGTGGCTCTTAGGGGAGGGGGGGGGGCACGCAATGCAGGCTTGAGGAGGGTTTGGTGATCTGCCCTCCTGTGAAACCCCCCTTCAGGATTCAGGTATCCATAACATGCACACCACTTTGTTTGATTCATCGTCAATCGAATTGCTGTCAATGATTGCCGCCGCCTATCCGCCCCTTACCTACCTTACCCTAGTGATCGATCAACTGCATGGCACCAAGCACCCCTGACATCAAAGTACGCGACCATACACCGTGATGATTGCTCAAACTATTGCTGTTTTTCGGGGAGACCGGGGAATTGATGGATTGAAGCTATTCACACACTCGGTGCGGGATATAGTGGATAAGCGGGAGACCCGAGAAGGAAAAAGAGTACAGGACATCAAGAGAATTATTACATGCTGAAGAGCTGCCCGCCAAAAAGCCCTGCCTCCCCGACGACAACCTCCCAATAACAACAGAAAAAGAACAACATAGAAGCATTATCGTAGCGGGGTCCGTTGCCTCTTGACTCTCAAGCATCTCCCCTCGCTTCCTCTCACCCACCTCCTCCACTGGCTGAGCTTGCTCACTTCTCTCACCCACTCTCTCAAGTATTACTAACCCGTGTCGCAGTCCGTGGCTTTTCGTTTTGATCCGTCCAAGGGGACAAAGGTATCTGTCGTTTGGCTGGCATTTTAGAACCCCCTAAACCCTTCCTAACCCCAGGGAACTTTTGTTTGCTTTTCCTCTTCGACTCCGCGCTGGTCCAGGACTTTTTCTGGGATTCCGATGATTCCACGACCGTGTAAAAGGATAACCAGCGTGTGTCCTCTGTTTTCTTTTCCGGTTCTTCGAGAAGAGGTGATCGTTCGCTGTTTACAGAAGGTTGCTGCATTCCCGATGGCGCTCGGGGGTCTTGGTATTCCACGCGTAAAATTGAAAAATGACAATCCGATCGGAGCATATCGACTGTTCCGATATCAACATCGCTAACCCATGATATACGTTGCTCTACATCACCAAGCAGCATCCGCCGCTTTGTTGTGGTGCGTAGGGGTCTTCGCCGCGGGGGACAGCGCCCCAAACCGATGGAACCATGTAGTCCCTCGTGCTGTTGCAGTAGGCAATGATGCTAGAATGACCGAATTAGTCGCTGATTTGCCTGATCGCGATGGAATCAATGGCTGGTTGGCCGCGTTGATTTGCATCGATGATGGCGATTGACAATCCAAGACCTACCTCTTAGAAGCATTGCTGACCGGAATCCGTTCCCTTTCAAGATCCTCGCGCAGGCGGTTGTTGAGTTCCGTCAATCGTCTCAGCTTGAGGTCGGCCATCGACTGCTTGTTCTTCTTGATCTGCGACGGGTCGCCGACATCGCGGGAAGTGTATTGAGGCATTGCTGTCGCGGATCGGGTGGCTGGAGACTTTGATGAAGAAGAAGGTGTCGCGGAAGATGACGCGGCGGCGGCAGCGACAGAGGGTTCAGCGGCGGCGTGTTGTCGTCGTGATTGTTTGTCGTCGGAACGAGGCTGTTGGACCTGATCCTGCCGCTGGCGAGAGGTAGGAGGAGTGGCTGTGGTGGCTACAGCAGATGATTCGGCGGTGGTAGGAGAGGTGGTGGTGGTGATGTGAGAAGGACGTTCCTGATGAGAGAGCATATCGTGTCAGTTTGATTAAAGTTTCCCTCCTTTGACTCCGCTTTGGCGGTGGTTGCCGCGTTTTCCCACCACCCCGTGGTACGAGCTCAGGATCGGAAGCGGGATGGGGAGGATTTAAATGGTCAGTAGGGGGGCGAAAAAACTCACAGCAGCGAGAACCGCGGGGGAATTGAGAGAGTGATCAAGGCCGGTTTCGATCGAAGCGAATCGACAAAGGAAAGAGCGTCGGGGGTGATTGGATTTGGGGGGGAGGATTACGGGTGTTGGAAGAGATGGGTAGGTTGGTTGCTCGGATAATGGGTTTGGAATTGGGAAAGCAAAGGAGAGGACGGGACGGGCGACGGGCGACGGGGAAGGAGGAGGGAGTGAGTGAGTGGAAGGAAAGGTAGAGAGAGGTACGGAGAGCCTAGAGGTAGGTAGGTAGGTGCAGGCAAGCCGCAGGTACAGTTGGGAATTGGGAATTGAGTGAGAGAGGACGGGAGGGAAGTCACGTACTCCTAGTGTCTGGGAGACCGGCTGGGACTGGGAATTGGGACTGGGGACTGGGACTGGGAAAGCTGGGATTGGATTGGATTGCGGAGCCCTTGGGAAAGGTTCCCCTAACGTGATAGGAAAGGTCAAAGGTCCATGGACGCAAGGTTACCTTCTTGCGCTAGGGCCACCAGGTGCGCCATGAAAGCAACGACCGCCCCGTCCCTGGAGGGTACCGAGCCGCATTGCATCTTTGCTGTACGAAGTACTGCGCGCGGGTTTTTATGAAGCGAAGCGAAGAGAGAGTACCTGCCAGCTGCTGCCAGACCATTGCAGGTCGACATACTGGGGTCTACTGCACAGTATGTGTGCTTGTGTGCATGTTTGTGCATTTGTACAGGCTGCATGCTGCAGTGCTGCAGGTCAAATGTGTTTGCGTTGCTGGTGGCCGCACCCTCCCCCGGTGGAGTGCGGTACCTGACAGTGTGTTCCAAGCGGTGAAAGGTACATCCACTTTCTTCTCCTTAGTCATCCTTGTGGCTTCTGGATTGGACAGCCCACGGGTCGGCAAGGGTGGGTGACTGGACCCGGCGCCGGCGGGGGTGTTCGCTGAGGTTCCTGTCGCCTCTCAAGAAAGAGGGAAAATTTAAAGAAGCGACGCTCCGCACGGACCCCATCTGGTGTAGACCAGCATTGGCGGGATTGGTTGGAAATTGGCCGGAGCGGGCAATCTCCCACATTTGGGTTTCCCCTACCTTAGTTGGCCGGCACCCCGATTGCGCCCATAGAATACGGATACAATCATGACGACGAGCACAAGATGCGATACCGCGACTGTACGGAGTACTCCAAGTCGCGGCATGTGGTGTTTGATGACGATGAATGAGCTGCACATCTTGGGCATCAGATGTGGCGAACCCAACCTTTGGCCTTTGTTTTTTTCTCTCCTTTCTTTTGCGATTCCCGTGTCCAACTGCCATACCGAGACCCGGCATCTCGATCAGACTTTAACTCTGCACTGCCGACTCTTACACAGAAGTCTGTCTCCCATATATCGTGCGGCACTCTCTATCCGGCTCGCCTCGCTGCCGAAGCTAATAGATGTCGTGAAGTGTTCGCGGGGACCGTCGTATATATGATAGGGTGCCAACGACATTTTTGCTTTTGACATCGAGACGTGCCATGGAACTCTCCCTCATGACGTTTTCAGTTGGGCTGACGACCCTGGGCCCTCAGCCAGACAAAGAACGGAGAGCTGCCGAGGGGCTAGCTGAAAGAACACGCTCGCGAAAAATGTCCACGGCGCCATGCTCTATATCGGGAATTTTCATAAGAGGAGGACCGATGTATATCGGCCCTTCTCTAGTCTTGTCCAACGCGAATTCTTTGCCAGCTTACCCGAAAGGACGACATGCTCGTACTTACGCAGGAGGTACTCGCAACTTGTAAGCCTGCCCGGGGAAGTCATTCATACTGCTGCCCTACCCGTCCAATAATGTATAACTATGCACATGTCCCCTGTGCTTGTAGGTTGGAAGTGAGGACATACGATTCAAGATCGGTGATTCTCGATCTTCCCGCTCTGCCGAAGAAAAGTGTGTGAAGTCACCATCTACCTCGGTCTCGGTGGAGCACTGCGGGAGCATGCCCCCGTCCGTATCCGGGATCAAAGAAAGTTCGGGGAGGCTTTTGATTAGAAACCGACAAGGCTGGCAAGTAAGTCTGAAAATCACGGTTGGGACCTATCAAGTGAAGTGACGGGAAGGAAGGTTTTGAAGAGACTTAGCGCAACGGCAGGCGCAATGTTCACTCGAATTGGACATCATCTCAACAGTGTAGTCGGCGACCTCGTTCCCGTCACTGAGTTGAGCCATACAACAACAAATGACATCGGAGGTACCTCAGTCCTTGCCTGATGTTTTGGAACGGGTCGACTGCAGTGAATTGAGGGACGGGAAGGTGCCGCAAACCTTCAGTGGTAAATCAGTCAGCCTCGGCTGACATAATCTTCAACCACGTGATCTCCGTTTCGCACAACGCACGGACGTTCGGAGCCCCTCAGGATTCGCATAGCGGCCACACACGAAATTGAAAAATTCGTCTTTGCTGTGTATTGCATCAACGCCAACGCACCGAGCGACAGCCAAGTCAATATCCCGCTCGCACGAAAAGGCTTGCGCTGCAACTCTTCAAACCAAGGACCCTCTCGAGAATAGTATTTTCCCGCAGAGGAGGTTGCCCATCATGGTGAGTTTCTCTGTTTGCTTTCTCAACCTCTGGGCCCGCCTGCCCAAGAATTTCCCACATGGATTTGACGCTACCCCTCTCCAACCTTGCTATCACGGGGCGTCATCTTGCTTGCTGTTGTTGTCGAACCGAAGTACTGACAATAAGCTATAGCCTCCTCCACCTCACCAGAAGCCGGAGAACGTCCTCAAGCGTGCTCACGAGCTCATCGGCGTCAACCAAGTCCCGGCCGCCCTCACCCTCCTCCACGAGCACATCACCTCGAAGAGAAGCCGAAATGTTCCCATCGCGTCGCTGGAGCCGGTGATGCTCCTGTTGGTGGAGCTCTCTGTCGAACAAAAGAAGGGGAAGCTGGCCAAGGATGCCCTTTACCAGTACAAGAACATTAGCCAGAACACCAACATCGGCACCATCGAGGTAAGCCGTCTCGCCGCCGTGGAAATGGGTTAGGGCAACCGTTGCTAACAGGGAGATACGCAGCTGGTCCTCAAGAAATTCATCGAGCTCGCCGCCGAGAAGGTCACCGTTGCCCAGGCAAAGGCCGATGAGGTCCAGTCCAGCATCGAGGCCAACACCTCCACCACCAACGTCGACGACTTGGAGGCCAGCGAAACACCCGAGTCCATCCTCCTTGCCACCGTCTCCGGCGAGCAGTCCCGCGACCGTACTGACCGTGCCATCGTCACCCCGTGGCTCAAGTTCCTCTGGGAGGCATACCGCACCGTTCTCGACATCCTCCGCAACAATGCCCGTCTCGAGATCCTCTACCAGAGCACTGCCATGCAGGCCTTCGACTTCTGCCTGAAGTACACCCGCAAGACCGAGTTCCGCAGACTCTGCGAACTGCTTCGCAACCATGTTCAGACTGCGGCCAAGTACTCTGCACAGATGCACGCCATCAATCTCAGCGACCCCGACACCCTGCAGCGTCACCTGGAGACCCGTTTCCAGCAGCTCAACGTTGCCGTCGAGTTGGAGCTCTGGCAGGAGGCCTTCCGCTCCGTTGAGGACATCCACACTCTCCTCAACCTCAGCAAGCGCCCTCCTAAGAACATCATGATGGCCAACTACTACGAGAAGCTCACCCGTATCTTCCTTGTCGGCGAGAACTACCTTTTCCACGCCGCCGCCTGGTCCAGATACTACACCCTTCTCCGCCAGTCCGCCGCTGTCGTTGCCAGCGGACAGGGCAAGAAGGCCGACAACCCTCCCGCTACCGAGAACGACCTTCAGAAGGCCGCCTCTTTCGTGCTGTTGTCTGCTCTCGCCATCCCCGTCATTAGCACCACTCGCTCCCGCGGTGCTATGGTCGACTTCGATGAGTCCCGCAAGAACAAGAACGCCCGCCTCACGCACCTGCTCGGCATGGGCCAGGCCCCTACTCGTGCTGGCCTCTTCCGCGATGCCCTCGCTAAGCAGATGCTGAAGCGCGCTCGCCCTGAGATCCGCGATCTGTACAACATCCTTGAGGTCGATTTCCACCCTCTCTCCATTTGCCAGAAGATCTCTCCTATTCTTACCAAGATCGGAGATGACGCCGAGATGGAGAAGTACATCCTGCCCCTGCAGCAGGTCATTCTCACCAGACTCTTCCAGCAGCTCTCCCAGGTGTACGAGACTGTCGACTTGGCCTTCGTTGAGAAGCTTGCTCAGTTCCCCGAGCCTTTCCAGGTTACTCGCGGCACCATTGAGAAGTTCATCATGAACGGCAACAAGAAGGGTGACTTGGCCATCCGCATGGACCACGCCACCGGTGTCCTCAGCTTCGACAACGACGTCTTCTCCTCCGCCAAGGCTGCTCACGCTGGATCTTCCGCTGGCTCAGCTGAGGCTGATGGCAGCTCTGTTCAGCGTCTTCAGAGCACTCCCTCTGAGATTGTCCGCTCTCAGCTTACCCGCCTTGTCAAGTCTCTTCACACTACCTGCTTCTACATCGACCCTACATACAACCAGTCTCTCGTTGCCGCAAGAGAAGCCGCTTTGGAGCGTGCCCGCGCCGGTGCTGAGCAGGAGCACCACTCCATTCTCGCAAGAAAGGAGGTCATCCACAAGCGCAAGGAGGAGGCTTCTGAGGCTCAGGCTCGTAAGGAGAGAGAGAATGCCCGCCAGAAGCGTCTTCGTGAGCAGTTGCTTCAGGAGGCCGAGGACAAGCGTCTCGCCGCTGAGCAGAAGGAGCGTGAAGAGAAGCGCATGAAGGCCGAGCGTGACCGCGTTCGCAAGGAGGAGCTCAAGAAGCAGATTGCCGACCTCAAGATCGGCAACAAGACGATCGACATCGACATGGACAACTTGGAGAACCTCGACTCCAGTGCCATTCATGCCATCAAGCTGGAGCAGCTCAAGCGTGAGAAGAACGATGTTTCAGAGAAGCTCCGCATCGTCTGGAAGCGTATCGACCACTTGGAGCGTGCCTTCAGAAAGGAAGAGGCCAAGAAGCTGCCCGAGGACTACAAGAAGCAGACGGAGCAGGACCGGGCGACCTACGAGGCCGTCAAGGCTCAGACCCTGAAGGAGGCCGAGATCAAGCACAAGGAGAGCGTCGAGCTGAAGCACCGCCTCACCCGCCTGATGCCCGAGTACGAGTCCTTCCGCGCCAACCTCCACGAGCGTCGCCGCGACGAGTTCGAGAAGCGCCGCAGAGACGCAGAGAGGGAGCTGGAGAAGCAGATCGCCGCTCGCAAGAAGGAGTACCGCGACCGCAAGCTCCGCGAGAAGCGCGAGCGCGAGGAGCAAGAGAGAGTCCTCCGCGAGGCCGAGGAGCGTGCCGCCAGAGAGAAGGAGGAGCAGGAGAGACGTGCCGAGGCCAAGAGAGCCGAGATGCAGCGCCTCAAGGAGCAGCGCGAGCAAGAGCGCCAGGAGGGCCTCGAGAAGGCTGCCCTCCAGGCGAGACGCGAGGAGGAGGCCCTGGCCCGTCGCAAGGCCGAGAGAGAGTCTCAGCGGGCCGCACCACCTTCCCGCGCTCCCGAGCGTGGCACCGACTCCGTCCCCGAGGGTCGTCGCCCGCTCAACCTGCCCGGTGCCGGAAAGTGGCGCGAGCGCGAGGCCGCCAACAAGGCTGCCTCCCCCGCCAACGCCGATGGCGCGCCCCCTGCCCGCGCTCCCCCGTCCCGTGGCCCGGAGCGTTCCGAGCGCCCCGAACGTTCCGACCGTTACGAGCGTCCTTCTGAGCGTGCGGAGCGTTCTGAGCGCCCTGAACGTTCAGAGGACCGCCCAAGTGCCGGTGGCCCGCCCCGTCTCGCCCTCGCCGGCAACAAGCCCAGCTGGCGTGAGCGTGAGGCTGCCAAGGCCGCCTCTGGTGGTGGTGCGTCGTCCGACAGCGCGCCCCCGCCGCCCCGCGCCTCCGGCGACCGTGGTGGTGCCCCCCTTAACCGCGGAGGTTCCGGACGCGATGATCGTGAGAACGGCCGCCCCGACCGAACCGCCTCGCCTGCCACGCCGGCAGAGCCCCTCAAGGCTTCTGGCGCTCCCGGCAAGTGGGTTCCCCGTCACCTTCGCGACAAGGCCTAAATGCGTAGTGTCGATAAAGACACCTACCATGGCCACAGTCTCATCGGAAGGACAAAGAGAACTGGTGAGGGAAAAAAGAGAGGGGAGGAGGGGTAGATGGAAGTGAAGAAGTGGTTACCGCAAGTTCTGCATCGGCGTTCTAGGTTAGGCAGGAAGTTGTTTTAAAAAGGATGTAACTCTAGATGCCCCCCCCAGAAGGATGGTTTCCTTCTCTGAAACCCGCTCCTTTAACAGAGGGGGC